GGTGTGGCGCGGTGCGCCCGGCCCTGGCCCCGCCCCGGCCCCTACGGTCGGTGGGCAGCCGTGGAGACTTGTCCCCCGCCGGCGGCTCCGCAGAAGGGCCCGGGCGTCTGCCTCTGGTTGTCTGCGGGGGCTTGGGTGCCCCTGCGCGTGCGGGTGGGCACGCGGGCAGCTGGGCCTGGAGGCTTACCTTCTACCCCAGGTGCCTCCTGGGCGGTGTGGGAACGTCCTCCTCAGGGGAGGAAGCTCACGCTGGTGGGGCTCGGGTTTCTCCCCGGTGAGCAGAGCTGGGTCCTTGGGGCCACTAACCCATAGTTACCCTAGAACCCTTTTCTGGCCCCGCTTTTTTTCCTGGGCATCTTGTTCATGAAGGGCCCTTTCTGTGATGGACAGTTTTGTCCCCTCCAAACACTACCTCTGGGGACTGTTCCCTGCTTCCTGTCCGGCCATTTGCTGCTGGGGTGAATCAGACCACCTGCTGAGGGGTGCCACACCCCCTCTCTGCAATGAGGGGTTTCTGAGGTGTGCTACTCTGCCTGGTGCCTGGGGGCTAAGGTCCACATTTAACAATTGGACAGTTTCCCCTCCTGGCCACTTAGGTTTGCCTTTCCTGTTTTGGTTTTGCTGGAAGCAGAAGTCATCACCCCCTTTAAGAGGGGGCTTATGTGGACACTACAAATCTGGTCTGAGATGGGGCCTGCCTTGGTTGTTCCCCTTTGGCACACACCGAAAGGCCTGCGCTCCTGTGCTGGAGCCCCATAGCAAGAGCTGGAATCTCTGACCAAGAGACCTGGCAGGCTCTGTGGCTGGGTCAGTCTGGAAGTTCCTACAGAACTGGGAGCTTTTAATCAAAATGACATTGGTTGATTGCTGCACGTGAGGCTGGATGCTCCTCCAAGTAGAACAGCAGCACAGGATAGTCTTGCACTGGCCACAGGACATTGGCCACTGCACACTTTGATTGGCATCAACTGGGGCAAGAGAGAGAACATTCAAGTGTCATCCACAGAACACCAGGGGTCTTGGCTACCTCTATGTTCCTGTCCTTTATCTTTGCTAAACCATCTTCCCCGGGGCTCTTTAGGGTGAAACCACAGCCTTTTCCATGGTTTCTAAGGCAGTTAGGCATACCATTCTGGGCATTTAGAATGCAGACTCTGCACTTGTGTGTAGGACTGTGCTCGTGTGCCTGCAAGTGCATGCACATCTTCCCAGAGGTTTGAAATAGATGGAAACTTAGTGTGGTGATGAAGACTTTGGGGATACTGGTGGAGACTAGGGTGACCTGAAGTTAGGAAGGATTGGGAAGTGAGCCTAGGCTAACCTAGGAGGAGTCTCAGTGGCTTCCTAAGAGCCCCCCCACCCCCAATACTAGTCCCTATAATACCTTGAGCAGAAGTCACATTGGAAGGGGGGAAAAAAGATTAACAGTTATTCCAGACAGTCCACATGCCATCACATTTAGTCTTCACAAAAAAACCCACGGGGTGGGGATTTACTTCTTTACTTTTGTTTTTCAGATTGGGGAAACTGAGGCTCAAAGAGGCTAGGCGTCCACATGAAGGTTGGAAGTAGACTTCTTGCCCCGCCTGCTCACACAGGATGCCACTGTACATGTGGTCAGCTCCCATCACTCTCTGCAAGGCCCCTTTTCTTTGAGATTGGGGGTGTGGGAAACCTCTTTTCCCGGGAAGTAACCTGGGTTACTTCCCTCAGAGCCCTTCCTTCTGTTAGGGCTGGGAAGGCCAGGTTGTAGGAGGAATCCGCTGCTGGGGTTCAGCTGTGGGTTCTTTGACATTTCTGAGCTGTTCCAGGTCTCAGTATTATCACCTGCCACTTGTGGAGGTGGGATGAAGAGAGGAATCAACAGATCTATAACACTCTCCACTCCCCTGGGGTCTTTGTCATCATTGCTCTCTCTGGGTCACCGCTAGCCCTGGGTACTGGGTAGCCACCTGGTGAGGCATGCACAGGGCGACCCTTGTCACTGATGGCTTCTCACCCGCTCCTGGTAGGGTATGATGACACCCCAGCCTCATTCCACCTATTTCTTCAGGAGGCCAGGCCTGTCTTGGTTCTTTATGGCGTTTCTCCCTAGGAGGGTCCAGGGTAGTGGAGCTCAGCCAGAGGCCATGTAGGCCATCTAGATGGGGCCTTCTTGGCATTCTTGGACCTGCAGCTGGGTGGTTGTCTGCCTACCAGGGGCTGTCAGCGAACATAGCCTTCCTAGCCAGCAGGCCCACCTCCTGCCCTCCTCCGTCTTGGGCGAGTCACTAAACTTCTCTAAGTGTTGGCCTTGTCTGTAGAATGGGAATGATGATGTACCTCATGTAGTTGTTCTGACGATTAAATGGAACAGTGCTGGAAAGGATGTGATTTGGTACTGGGGGCTATTGTTGTCAGTCATCATCGTGATTGTTACTGCTTTGTCGCCCCTCTCTTTATATGTCCATCATTGACACCTGGGCGGGGCCTGGGTCATGGTCTCTCTTGGCTACTCATCCTTTTCATGATCCTTCCAGGGACCAGTCTGGTGTCAGCCCTAAGGAGCGGCCAGGATAGGACACTCCTGCCCAGGACAGGTCTGGGCCTGGAACTGCTCAGGCTAGTACAGTCGTCGCTGATCCCCTGTGGCGAGTGCATACTGTGTTGGACGGTGCAGAGTAGGATCTTTCATGGCAGGAGCTGTGCTAGACTGGACTCCACAGCCAGCCTTGAGCTCTCAGGGTGCTGCAGCTGGGAAATATCCTCACTGGTGGCTTGAGCAACTGCCAGCCATGTGCTGAGCGCGGACCGCAAGAAGTTTGTAATTCAGAAACTGAGTTCCTGAGGGCCCTCCCATACTCTTGCAGGTGGCCTTGCTCACCTGGCCAGGGTGGTTAGTTTTTTGGCAGTTCTTAACAGCCCAGGGGTGGGAGGGCAGGACTGGAATTGCTCAAATTGTACCTGTTGCCTACTGTCCCTGCCCTGTTTCTCCAGCCCATCCTGCCGAGCAGGGAGTCCCAGAGTGATGTTCCTAATTCACAGCTTTGGCAAGGGCTTGGCTGGCCCAGATGCCCTGACCCCACTCCTGGGGCCCTGCTTAGCCCCAGCCTGCTACTCCCCTTGGGTGCTCTGAACACACAGCCTCCTGCCTTTTGCAAACCCCCCTTCCTTATCCATGGGCACCCTTTCCCTCTTCTCCCCAGGCCCAACTTGCATGTCTGGGGCATACAGCAGATATCTTCTGAGTGTCGGCTGCCTGTCAGGTCAGTGCCGGGTCCTGGGCAGACAGAGGGTAGCGGCCCCAGGCCTGCTTTGACAGCTTCAGGCTGGTGAGAGGCCCACGGCTGGCCAGACTCTCCCATCCAGGCAGACATGGTGCCAGTCCAGCTCAGGAAAGCTTCCCCTGGAGGAGATGCTGAGGTTGAAGGGGCCAGTGCTGACTTGAGGCTACAGATGCGCCAATGGGCAGGTCCAGAGGGGTCTGTGTGGCTGGAGAAAGGGATGGGATGGCAGGGAGGGGGAAGGAGGGTGCAGGCACACTTTGCAAGAGGGAGTTTAAACTTTATGGAGAGTGTATCTGGTTGGTGGTTTGGGACCCTATTCCCAGGGCATAGCTGGATCTAAGTTGGTCATAGCCCGGCATACAATAGGTACTCAGGAGATGGCTGTGGAACGAGCAAATGCTGAGTGAGTTCTGCGTGTAAAGGGCTGGTGCAGGGGCCTCTCCTTGCCCCTGGAACCAGAGGTGCGAGTCAGGAAGCTCCTGCCCTTTCACAGCTGCCAAAACTGAGTTCCAGGGACATGACAGCTCAGCCAGGCTGGGCCAGAGAGAACCGAGGCACTTCTCACTGTGTCCTCTGTTCACTGCTTGTTCATCCCACACACCTTCTCTGGGCCCGCACTGTGTACCAAGCAGTCCCAGTCCAGAGCCAGATGGATACTTACAGTCTGGGAAGGAACCAGGCTAGTATTCGTCAGTCGAGCTTTACTGGTTATTAAAATACCGCAATACTTACGTGCTGATTGACTAAGAGCTGTTGCCTCAAAGCCCCACCTATAAGGCCCCATCCACAAAGCCCCAGTGCTTGGCCTCTTCCCTGACTTCCCTCCATCCCATGGTCCAGCAGTGAAGAGTCACCAGTTGCATAGCGAGTGGTCTCCACGACCCTGCTGGGGCTGGTTCTGATCACTGGGTACCGGCTATTTGGTATTTGTAGTGCATTCCTGTATACAGTGTGTGATGACCTTGATTTGAGGTCCTGGGGTCCTGTCACTGTTCCACTTATTTCTCTGATGCTTTAGGCAGGCTGGGACTGAAGCTGTCCCCACAGTGTGCCTAGCACCTGGGAAGCCCACAGCAGAGTCCAGCAGAAGTGCTGCCACTCAGCACAACTCCATTTCCTCTTCCTCTCTCCTGCAGGCCATCATGAACACCAGCCATCCTAAGCCCGGTGCCGGGTCTCCCCGGAGCCCCCGCCCACAGTCTCTATCCCGGAGCTCTTCCAGCCTGCTCGCTGAAGGCCGGGGACAGAGGCCAGAGCTCCGAAAGAGTGCCAGCAGCACTGTATGGCAGGCCCAGCCAGGTGAGGCCAGCACCGGTTCCCAGGTCCTGGAGGAAGAGGAGCACCAGGCTGAGAGAACGGAGAAGGCACAGGCCTCCAGCCCTGGGCCACGGCCTGGTGCTGTGGGCCATTGGCGGAGCATCACTGTGGGCAACGTGTCTACCATGGGCGGTGGTGACCTGTGTCACCTGCGGGGCCCCAGTGCCTCTGCTGTGCAGAGGAGCCACTCGGACCTGGTCCGCACCCAGAACCGGGGCCACAGTGGTACTCGGAGGGCCAGCCTGAGCTGCTCAGCCCTTGGCAGCTCACCGGTCCATAGGGCTCGGCTGCAGCCTGGCAGAACTTCTGGCCAGGGAGGTCAGGCCCCTGCAGGCCTGGAAAGGGACCTGGCTCCAGAGGATGGGACTTCAAACTCAGCCTGGACACTGGGAGAGAGTCAGGTGTGGGTGTTGCCCCTAGAACTGGGAGGCACAGTCACACCCAGCAGCAGCCCCAAGGCTGGGCCCAAAGCCACTGGGCAGTCAGCCACTACCTCTTGCCATGCTCTGCCCCCAGCAGCTCTACTCTGTGGCATGAGGGAGGTGGGTGCCAGTGGCTACTGCCACGCCTTGCCTGCCCCAGGGATCCTGGCCTTTCCCAAACTAGTAGCATCAGTGAGTGAGTCTGGGCTGCAAGCTCAGCATGGGGTGAAGTTCCAGTGTAGATTGCCTGAGGGCCTTCCTGGGCATTCCCACTGCTGTGCCCAACCTTGGGATCCCACTGGGTCAGCTATGGAGCCTGGCGCCAGGACCAAGGATGTGTGGACCATGACCTCAGCCAGTGACTTGGCCCCAGTGTTGGCATGCCCTCTGCCAGCCCAGGATGCTGGTGTGCAGGCGACCCCCATGGCAGTGTGCAAGGCTGTGGCCACCAGCCCACCCCTGGAAGCCCCTGTGGCTCTGCACCCATTCCCAGAGGCAACTCTGGGGTCCAGTCTGGAGGAGGCGCCATCCCCTGTGCAGGATGTGCGATGGGATGCTGAAGGCATGACGTGGGAGGTATATGGAGCTGCACTGGACCCTGAGGTGCTGGGCGTGGCCATCCAGAAGCACCTGGAGATGCAGTTTGAGCAGCTGCAGCGGGCACCTGCCAGCGAGGACAGCCTGTCCACCGAGGGCCGGAGGGGACCGCTGCGAGCTGTCATGCAGTCTCTGAGGCGCCCCAGCTGCTGTGGCTGCTCCAGTGCAGCCCCAGAGTGAGAAGCTGTGGTCCTCAGAGCTGTCCTGTCCCATGGACTCAGCCCCAGGCCATGGATAGTGGGGGGCGACACTCTCCTTGGACCCACTGCAGCTGTGGATACAGCTCTGCTGTTGGCAGCCAGCAGAAAACAGGACTCAGCCTGGGGACTTGCTACTTGCAGCCGGGCTGGTTTTTAAGGGCTTGATTCCTAAGAGCCACTTCTGCACACCAGGCATTGAACTTTGGGAGTTTCACACTGTGTATAAGGGAGATCCTGGCTTTTCTGTAAAAATCATTGTCTTCTGTCTTCAGAACTCTTCCATGATTGCCCTCAGAGTCTTGATGGCCTTACTTTAAAGCAGAGCTGAGGCATAATGAATCCTTGACATGAAATGGGGGCCCCAGGTGTCAAGGACCAGCTGGGTCTTTAGAGAAGGGAACTGACACTGAAGGCCGCCTACGTGCCACACACTGTTCGCCACCTTAGCTTGTTGAGTCTTTGCCTTCAGCCTGTCTCACAGATAAGAGCACAGGCATTTGGCAGTTGGATACTTGAAGCGGACAGCTGAGGGTCACAGCAGGGCTGGTCGAGGCTGGGCTGGCTTCCTGCAGCCCCTTTGGTCAGGAGCTGGGAGCAGAGCTTCTGGAAGCCACATCCTGTGCCAGGTCCCGTGGGTTCCTTGGGAAATGAGACAGGCTGCATATGCCTTCGTTGAGCTCACAGTGTGGAGGGGTCATCTCAGTAGTGGGGTGCTGACTTTACAGAAAGGCCACAGGGTGCTTCTGAGAAGCTCCCCTGTTGGTCATTGTGTTGGGGTGGCCTCAGGAGCACCACCTGACCCCAGATATGTCGCAGTGCCTGGAATTGCACCATTATTACCTCAGTCGTTTGGCTTAAGGGTTTATTTTCAGCTGATGTGGTTATTCAAAGAAGGGAGGGCAGGATGGGTGGGAAAAGAGAGGAAGCCAGGGGCGGGGTCTCCCTCTGATGGAAAATGGCAGGAGCTGTGAGGCTCTGGAGGGGCAGGGAGGCCTGTGGGCCTATTTGCCCCAGTCCTGCCCATCTGACTTGACATTGGCCGGGGGATCATGGGAGTCAGGGTGCCAGGGGTTGGCACAGCCTGACTTTACAGCCCAGGGATCTCTCCAGGCCTGTGGAGGATGGGAGTGGGTTTGTGTGCTCGTCCTGGGGCTAAGAGTTGAAAATCCAAACTCCTGAGACAGAGTCTGCCAGCCACCCTGTGAGGGAGCCAGGTTAGTGTCTGCCCAGGGTCACTGGGCATGGGAGGGTGGAGTCACAGCCCATGTGCATCCCTGCCCATGATAATGGCCTTTTCCTGGGCCACTTCTGCACCTGGGAACCCAGGACCTGACAGCAGGCTTTTCCCCGGCCCCCAGGGACTCACTGAGGTGGAAATGACTCGGTTAACCATGGGTTCATGTTGAAAGCAGGAGTGATATGCTACCAGACCCAAGGAGCATGGTGAGAAAGGTGTGTTTCGGTCAGAATGCCTTCCCAGCCCCCTCAGGGGCTTTGCCCAGAACCACGCCTTTCCACTTCTAGCTGGGCTGGTAAATGCTGCCCCTGCTTAAAATGACAGCAAATGAGAACCACTTCTGCCATTGGGGGAGGGGGGTAGAAGGGTGGGTCTGAAAGCAGGCGAGCACCTGACCTTGCCCCCTTTTAAAATGGGATGAAGCCCGGCCGATACCTCTCGCTAACCAGTTGAGCATCGATGCGTGAACCAGGAGGTCACAGTTCCATTCCCCGTCAGGGAACGTGACCAAGTTGCAGGTTTGATCCCCAGTAGGGAGCGTGCAGGAGGCAGCCAATCAATGACTCTTATAATTGATGTTTCTGTCTCTCCCTCTCCCTTCCTCTCTCTGAAATCGATAAAATCATATTTAAAAAAGGGAGATGGGGTGGGGCTCAAGCAGGCTTCCGTGCTGTCCTGAGGTCCTGGCCATAGTCTGGGCCTGTCCTCTGTGCGGTGCAGGGCAGCTCATCATGCCCTGGGGGGGACACGTGCTGGGCTGTCTTCATGCTCAGCCCTGCTCAGGGGCTCCCGAAGCCCCAGCGACTGGTGAGGCCAAACTGGAGAGAGCAAATGGCTGTGGGGATATGAGTGGAGAGGTGAGGAACGGGAGGGGGGGCACCTTCCCACAGGGCCACAGCTGAGCAGGGTCTTGAGGACACAGGGCATCTGGACAGGTGGGCAGAGGGAGGGGTGTACACAGCAGAGAGAGAACAGCCTGGGTGGGGCTGGAGGTGCCTGTGCTGCCTGGGCCGTGCTGGGCTGTTTGTTGGGTTGGAGGGCTGGCAAAGGAGGCCCCCACTGTGAGGATCCTGGTGTGAGTGAGGAAAGGGACTCGGGAGGTATGGAAGGGGTAAGGCCACGTTTTGTTTTAGAAACAGCCCTTTGGCTGCCATTGGAGTGATTAGTGTGGAAGGCAAGAGCCCAGGGGGCCTGTTAGAGACAGACAGACAGACACATACACACAAGCACACACACACACATATGTGTGGTGGATTTGGGCAGGAGGAGGAGTTCCAGGAGGCTGAGATTTCCAGTTCGAGCAAAAGGAGGTGAGGCCACCACCTGGGACAGGTGGGAGGTTCAGGAGGCCCAGGCAAGGAGCCGCCTGCCACAGTGGCTGGGACCAGTGAGACCTTTCCTGGAGAGACTTTCTCCCCTGTCCTGTGCAGATTCTCATGAGGTCATTCTGTTTGGCTGATGTGTGCCAGTCTGTGCCACCTCTAGGCTGCACCTGGCATGCCAGGATGGCAGGCCAGGCCTGGCCCGAATGGGAAAGGGCAGCTGAAGCCGCCTCCCACCTCCTCTTGACTAAGATAAATCTTTGCAGGGTGGTGCCCCCAGAACACCATCCTAATTAAGTTTGCTGCCCTGAGACAACAGGATTGTGCCCTGGGCCTCACTAGCCAGGCTGCACAGTCTCAGCCCACTGTGGATGGACAGTAGCTTAATTTCTGAATTTGCCCTGGAGACAGAAAGCGCCCCTGCCTCCCACCTTGTCCCTCGCTGGGGAGTCTGACTGGCAGTTGTTTATGATCTCAGGGGTGGCCACCAGCTTAGATTACAGGTCTCCGCCAGATTTCTGACCAGACTTTCTGGGTCCCCTCAGGCTCTGCTCTGGGAGGTGGGGGGTCTCATTATTTGTACATTTGTTTTGAATTTGAAATAAAAGTATTGGAGGTTAGAGTTTTGCCAGGGAAGGGTTGTTGGTCCTGACTGGTCATTTTTTTCTGGTAGAGTCTGTCCTTTGGAGTATTTGTTCCAGATTACTAGAGCTCCCTGCCCAGGCAAAAATTCCCCTCCTATATATTCCTGTCTCTCCTGCTTGGCAGCCTTCCAGGCCCCCAACAGCTGAAGCCTGGCTTCCTGGCCAGGACACAGGGTAGGCATCTCTTGTCCAAGCCCCAGGCTGTTTTTGCCTTCACAGGGAACCACTAGTCCACCTGGGGGGACGCTGTTCCTGCCAGAGTGTAAGATGCTGCTGGCCTGCAGACACAGTGCGGGAGAGGGTGGAAAAGCAGAGAGTGGTCTGGTCCCACAGTGACATCACCTTCTGTGCCAGTTGGATTGAGTCTCTGTCCCCTAGAAGTGCTGGATTCTTATGTCACAGGGGCCAACAGACATGCCTTCCCAATGCAGGTCCTTGCACTTAGGGCCAGGGGTGGGGCACACTGTAGCTTAGTGGTATAAAACCTGGGTTTGAATCCTGGACCTCACCTATAGCAGTGAGATCTTGGGCAAGTTACTAACTTCCCTGATCCTCAACTTCCTCATCTGTAAAATGGGTATGATAATGGTGCCTCCTTCTTAGGCTGGCTGTGAAGATTAAACGGAACAACGCCCATAAAGTGTGCTCGTGGTATTGGGGTCCACTTCTATAGCCACAGGCAGGGTTTCACTGTTTCCCATATCCTGCCTTCTTGGCCATTCCTCACTTGGAGCCTCTTCCAGGCCCTTTGCCGCCTGCGCCTTGCTTGGACGTGTGTGCTCGGCTGTGGCCCTCCGACACTGCAGCTTCCAGCGCCGTGCTGAGGCCCATCAGCCCTCATCACTGGTCTGGGGCTGGGTTCCCTGGAAGCTTGTGCTGGGGTGAGGGTTCTGGGTTTATTAAGGAAGGGAGGTGGGAGCACAAGGTAGGGAAGGGACAGAAGCCAAGCAAAGGGTGTGATTTCAGGTAGATTCCTGGTCTAGCCCAGGTCCCACTTTAGGATAAAGGCCACCAGGGGGTGGGGGTAGAGAAAAACTCTGGGCACTTCTGGCTCTGGCATGCAGACCAGCAGCTCCAGGAGCCCAGGGCAGGTGTCTGCATAGAGTTGTAGGGTCTATCCCAGGGGAGGGGTGCACAGAAACCATGGTGTCTGAGGGATGTGGGAGTACACCCGCCATAGCTGCATTCATGGCCTGAGCAGCCCCTTACCCAGTGGACTCTCATGGAGTCTGAAGCCCACAGAATGCCCAGACCCTCCCCCCATGAGTTGCTCTGCAAGAGTTCTCTCATTCGTGCTCATGCCAAGGGACCCTGGTTACTGAAGGGCAGAGCTTTGCATGTGCCCACGTTAAATCCCTTCTCATTCGTCCTTTTGTCCTGGCCCAGTTTTTTCATCTGAAGCTATGACTAGTCCTTTACCAGTCTGCATCCAACTTGTTAGGCAGTGCAGGGTCAGACGGAGCCTGAGGCCCGTCACTGGGCTGTCCTGAGGTCAGCACTGGTCCCCATGTCCCTGTGAATCCACAGTCATCATGGGCAAATTTGTATAAGGCAAATTTGTAAAAATCCAAATCTTCAACATCAGTAGCACTCTTCTCACCCACCTCACAGCCCAGAGACCCTCACCTCCAAACAAGCAGGAGGGTAGCAGGGCCTGACGTGGGCCCTGGTTCTCCGCGAGGCTGGTTCTGTGCTCATGGCTTCCTTTCCTAAGCCCTTAGCTACTTCTGTTTAACAAGCTCTTCAGGAAGTTTGAGATCAACAGCAAGCTAAGACTTACAGACTCTACCTTCTTACCCTTTTGAAAACTGGGAGCCATTCCACCCCCCTTGGCACCCCTCCTCTTGGGCACACTGTGGCTCACCTTACATTCCTGGGAGGTAACTGAGCGTGAGGAGCAGCCTGTCTCTAACACCTTCCTCATCCAGCCTTCCCCCTCCCTTTTGGTGGGAGTCCTCCAAGCTGGCTCAGGGTCTCCCTGGAAGATCTCCCTCCTTGGAAGAACCTGGGGCTAGTTCTGTTGCTGTGGATATAGAGCGATAATAAACTGGGAAAAGTCGAAGTTTATTTAAGAAAACCAAACCAAAGTTGCATTAGCTTATAGGACTAGAAATGATCAGGTGGGGTCTGGCTCTCTTTCTCCAGGAGTTGGGTAAACACAGCCTTTGTTCACTTCTGCAGGGACTCTCCATGCCTCATGCCTCGTTTCTCTACCTCCAAGTCCCAGACTGCTCAGCAAGGAGGCAGGTCTGAACCCTAAAACCTTTGGCAGACCTTTGGCATCAGGGAAAGGAAGCAGGGCAGGGACAGTGAGACCTTTGCAATGAGATTTCTACGGGACAAAGAGGACATGAAACAGAAAAAGAGAAAGGAGGAAACCTGTGC